CCTCTATAAAACGGGAGAGGAATAGGAGGGCGAGATCCAGGCATAGGGCAGGCGTAGAGTGTCGCGCGCGGATGCAGCCAGCTGTAACGTAACCGAGTCTGGCGCCGTATTTGTCTTTCAGTGCAGCTATTTTCCCCGTGTCTCACTTTGCTCTCCCTTCTGCATCTACCGCCTCTCTCATTGCTATCTCTCAGCATTGCTGCCGGAACGGCGTACGAAGGCGTACGAAGGCGTTTATGTTCTTTGCACGAAGGTAATTCTTGGGTGGCATCACGCAATCACGGTTAATCCGGAAGACATCAGTGTGTGATAATAGAAATGACCCAACGCACACCTTTGGCTTTGATTAAACATTTTTTCATACTATGTCTCTTGATTTTCCATTTTAAAAAATTGGTTGAATTATTGAACAACAATTTTATTTGAAATAAATAATAAAATCACACATCTTTATTCATATAATCTGACTTTATTTTCAATACATATTTTAAATTTTACTTATAATTACTAATTTTTTAAAAATTGTAATTTATTGACAATTTTTTATAAATCATTTACATTTTTATAAAGTATTCTTTCTCGTTATAAAAGCTATTACAAAGATTTGAGATTGGTTACATATTTATTGCTTTTTTATACACAAGTTTGACCAATTATATAGGTATTATTATAAAACAACGAAAAATCTAATTATAAAACGTGCCGCAGTAATTGAAAGTGATTTAAGAATGATAACGATGTTCGTAACAAAAATACTCGAGGGGTAGGAATTTCATATCTTCTTCCCTACCTGGAATCTTCCTTTCGTTTCCTTTTCGTCTCAATTTTCCGTACAGCCCCCGTCAGCTGTTACTCCTGACGTCGAACTTCCTCTACGATGGGAATGCTAGTATCGACATCGGAAAGATGGATGCGCGCAAACGTCGATCGATGTTGATCGCTTAAGCAAAACACATCGCAAACGATTATCGTGACGTTCCGGATAATTTTATAAAATTGCAGTGAAAGTAAAAGCTTTACTTTTATAGGTTCACGACGTTTACTTTAAGCAAGCGAAAATCTTATCATACAGGTCGATGTTATATTAAGCACTTTTTGTTCCTCTTCTTTACGCACGCGCACGCGTAAGTACCGATCGAATGCTTCGTTTTGACTCGAAACGGGCGTCGTCGACGGCGACGGCGACGGCGACGATGAAGAGGGCGAGCTCGGCTCGGCCGTTTTATCGCGACTCGTCGCTGAGCAAGCAGGGACTCCATCTCTCACGCAACTTCAGGATTTGATGCATGTGCCGCCGGAACATTTGTTCGATTCCCCTCGAGTTCCCCTGTCTCACTCTCGTTCCCTCCTCTCGCTGTCTCTCTTAGGCCGCCTACCCTCCGGGAAGCAGGCAGGTCTTTTCTCTCTCTCTCTCT